GTTCTCAACCTGTGGGTCGGGACCCCATTTGGGGTCGATCGACCATTTCACGGGGGTCGCCAAGCAAGGCTGTCCACCATTTTTTTTTGTCCGCCATTTTTTTCCCCTTTTCCGGAGGGTGCCTTACCTCCCTTGGGCTGGGCCAGCTGGTGGTCGGCCTGCTCCGTCTCTGCCGCTTGCCAGCTACGCCTCGGCCAGCGCAGGGGGCGGAACCACGCATGTGCGGCGCTCCCGGGCAGGGAAAGTCCTCGACTTACGACCGGTTGGGTAGTCCTCGACTTACGACCGGTTTAGTCCTCGACGTATGACCGGTTTAGTCCTCGTCTTACGACCGGTTTAGTCTTCGACTTACAACCGGTTGGGGTCCCGGCATTAAAAAGGTTGAGAACCACTGGACTAAGGCAATTGTGTTTGACAGAGAATATGGAATCAATGACGGCATGTTAAATATAAATGGCAAAAAAAACCTAGAGCAGGTATATAACCTTTTGTTGCTTGATGGGATGTTTACTAAAAAAAAAGAGAGAGAGAGAGTGGATGGAGAAACTTTAATACATGCAAATGCAGGTACAAAGAAAGTGCTTAGCATATGGTCTGTTTTGAGGACCATATTTTGTGGAAACATGAGAAAATGATTTTGTATAAGGACATACTTATGCCCAGTTATCTTCTCTTTTTTGTCTTAACAATAGCTGGATTTGTGCTGATCTTGTTTTTCAATAACTATATAAGATTTAACTCTCACAGTACTTTAGCCTTGCCCTACTCACCCCATGACACTTCTTGACTAAAATCTACAAAGATATTTTTGATGCCTTCTCCCCACCCTAGGTATTTGAGTTATTTGAGGAAATGGGAGCCAAATTTTTGAGGATCACAGTAATCTATGAAGACATCTCCTGAAGCATCAGGACTGTAATTTGGAGAGTGGTTGAGAATGGGAATGGGAGGTAGAGGCTTCAGCTCTCAGCCTGTATAGGTGGTAGAGAGAGAATGGCATTGCTGAAAATTTGTCATTTTGCTGCCAGATATTGACTCTGTGATCTAAGGTTTTTGTGGGGTCCTATGGATCATAAATTGCCCGCCTTTTTTAAAGGGATATATAATTCTTTGATCAAATGCATGTTTTGGAGCCCAGGGTAATAAACATGAATTCTAACTTTCGCGCAGCTAAAGCTATAAAACCCTTTTGAACTAGCAGCCAAATTGATCTGCTTTAGATGATCTCCTTAGTCAGATGAAAAGAAGCAAAGCTCCCAAGAGCTGTTTTATGCTGGCCAAGACTAATGCAGGATTCATTTGTCCTGGCAAATTTGGTCAAGGAATAATGCTCTAAAGCAGTGATGGCGAACCTTTTAGAGACCGAGTGCCCAAAAACTGGCCCTGCCCCCACTCCACCCCCTGCCCCGCTCCTACTCTGTCCCCCCCCCCGTCTCCCACCCCACCTGCCCGCAGGGCCACTCACCACCTCCAGGGCCCACCGCAGATTGCCCAGGCAGTCCAGCAGCACCATGGCGGCCACGCCCTCTGCCCGCACCCCGCAGCATCAACTGTGCGGGATGGGGCATGAGGGCAGAGTCTTGTCTACGCTGCCTGGCTGCCATGTCCTTGGCTGCCCTGCTCCGTGTGGGCCACGCTCGGGGGCGACTCTCCTCCAGGGGGGCTGCTGGTGAGGAGGGGGTCGTGGGGGAGGCGAGGCTGGAGCAACGGCACGTGTGCCCACAGAGAGGGCTCCACGTGCCGCCTCTGGCACGCGTGCCATAGGTTCGCCACCACTGCTCTAAGGGAAACATTCACCTGTACCTTCATTGAATAGTGTTGGAATCCTGCCTTATTACAGTATTTCTAGGAATGGATGATGCCTGTCAAACCGGAGCTACTTTTTGTTTGATCAGTGCCCTTGCCCAATTAATGTTTGAGATTGGCATGTTTAGTATTGGATTGAACCATGCAGCAATTCAAAATGTGATTACTTGGTTGCAGTGCGTGTGTGTGTGTGTGCGTGTGTGTGCGTGCGCGCGCGCGTGCTCTGAAATGTTAATTTTGCAATGCAAGCCCTTCTAACAGAGATTCCTTGACTTTTGTTCTAAGTGCTTGTTATCTTTGTCATTTCTGTAGGAAAACCATGATGTAGCAAAACATATTTTTATAACATAAATTAAGAGTCTGTATCCCAGATTATTCTAGTTATAAATAAAGGATGTAGGTTTTTTTTTTAAATAATAAACAATTGGGTTCATTTTTGATAATAACTTTTCCCCTACTTGGTAACCCACGTGCATAAAAAATAAAAGGCCGAGATTCAGAGAACCGTGCAATAGTGCTCCATGTGTTATGTTCTTTGCTTTTGGCTTAGGATAATAGATCAACTCTTTTATTACAGCTTAGCGCATAGGGTAGAAAAAGTGCAGTCATCGGCAGCTTTTGGAGGGTAATCCCAGGTCTCCCAAGAATCAAGGTGGGGAGACTTTGGGGAGACTTTGGGGAGTCTAAGATACCCACTTCAATCCTTAATTACTTCCCTCCCCCCCAAAAAAATCAGGCCTATTTTGGGACTTGGCCTTGATCAGCTTTGGAGAACATTTCTCAGCACGCTAAACAAAGCCCAGTGTGATTTTTCATTTTATACACCGCTATCTTAATGTGGTACTCCAATCCAGCTACTATATTCATTCAACAAATCACATGTTAAAAAAGTGGCTGAAAATTGTGAGCCGAATACCATCAAAAAAAAATAATGAACATTTTTTCCTTTGATCGTGTTTAAAGCAGCTCTCCTGTTCCCAGCCACACATATATTTCAGGTAACACGCAGGGGTCCAAAAGATCTTATTTGGGGGTGGAGGCACCTTCAGTTCTTTATAGCATTGAATCATAGCATTCTGTGGAGTACTTTGTGTGCATGACATGGCATTTATCTGCAATCCCAAATTCCAACAGTTTCACGGTTTGAAAAGCATTGCAGATTTTAAAGTGTTTGTTTCACAAGGATTGGCAATTCTTCTCTCTCTCTCTCTCTCTCTCTCTGTCTCTCTCTTTATAGAGCAAGGCTTAGATCACATAGCAGAAAATATCCTCTCCTACCTAGATGCCAGATCACTCTGTGCAGCTGAATTGGTTTGTAAGGAATGGCAGCGGGTTATTTCAGAAGGAATGCTTTGGAAGAAGCTTATTGAGAGAATGGTACGAACTGATCCACTCTGGAAGGGGCTCTCAGAAAGGCGGTGCTGGTATGTATCTGTGCAAAAGGAATAAACAATGCTTCCTCCTTCGGAATGGAAATAACCTCCCTAATGTATTGAGCACACCTGGTCTGATTGGGCAGTAATGGTGGTAAAGGTAGAAGACAATGCAATGCAATTCTGAGTTAAGAAGTATGTACTCCAGTTCTTTCTCTGTCTTTTTGGTTCTTGATTTGGCTTTGATCGTCCTCTTTGAGTGCGTATTTCATTGAGGTCTGCTAATAAAGTCAATGCGGGGGGGGGCTTTGTATTTTGTAGGCAACAGAACTATTAGTATTTAATTACAGAAAGAACATGCATAGCCTTCCATGCTGCTCTTTGTGTTAAAGACATGGAAAGTAGTGTCTAAGCTTCAGGGAGATGAGAATACATCTCCAATTGCATTCAGCTACCCAAGCCAATTTCTCTCTAGGGCAGGGGTAGGCAACCTTGGCTCTGTTATGACTCGTGGACTTCAACTCCCAGAATTCCTGAGCCAGCCATACTGAGGGGAAAGGGGGAGGTTTCCAAGCTGAGCCATGCTGGCTCAGGAATTCTGGGAGTTGAAGTCCACGAGTCATAAAAGAGCCAAGGTTGCCTACCCCTGCCCTAGGCCAATAATAGTTTTACAGGTGTGGGAACAGAATCAAAAGTAGAACTTTTAAGTTTTAATTCTATGTGCGGATTTAACTAAAAGAAAAATGTGGACAATTGTATTCTCAGTTTGGCTCTTTGGGTGTTGCTTTTTAGAATGGAGATTTTATAAAATAAGAATAAAAAACACAGAATAAGGTAAGAATGTTAAACTTGGTGGTAGGTTCATTGGAGGGCAATCAGTGTGACTAATTTTTTCAAGCAGCGCAACAGAATTAATTAAAAGTTAGTGGTATTCAGAATTTGGAGATGGCTTTACAATGTCAGTATGTCGCTGATATCCATAGAATCAATTCAAACATTTTTTATTTCTGTATGGAAAATATAAACCTCTCTTTCTTCTTACTGTTTTACAGGGATCAGTACCTGTTTAAAAACAGACCCACCGATGGCCCTCCTAATTCATTTTATAGGTCACTGTATCCAAAGATAATACAAGATATAGAGGTATGTTTTTTTAAAAACATTACTTTGTTTAAAATGTACTTGATACCGTAAAAGGCAAGAGGAAAAATATAGAAATCTGTTTCTGAAAGTTACAATTTAAAGGAATTTTTGAAAATTAAAATTTAGATTCCCTGAAGAGGAAATGAGGGATGCAAATAATAAGACATACAGTGCATTCAGAAAGTATTCAGACCTCCCTTCACTTTTGTCAATTATGTTATGTTGCAGCCTGATTCTACAGTTGTTGAAATTCATTTTTTTCTCATTAATCTACACTCAGTACCCCATAATAACAAAACGAAAAAGAATTTTCACGCCATCCAACCTGAGCTTCAGAGGATTTGCAAGGAAGAATGGCAGAAAATCCCCTAATCCAGGTGTGCAAAGTTTGTCGCGTCATACCCAAAAAAGACTCAAGGCTGTAATTGCTGCCAAAGATGCTTCAACAAAGTATTGAGCAAACGGTCTGAATACTAATGCCAGTGTGATATTTCAGTTTTTTTCTTTTTAAAAATTTACAGACATTTCTAAAATTCTGCTTTTACTTTATCATTATGGGGTACTGAGTGTAGATTAATGAGAAATAAATAAACAAATTTCAACAACTGTAGAATCAGGTTGCAGCATAACAAAATTGACAAAAGTGAAGAGGGTCTGAATACTTTCTGAATGCACTGTAGGTGTCTACAGATCCTACCTTGGTTGTTTGTTTGTTTGATATCTCTTCCTCCCGCCCCCCCGTATTGTCATAAACATTTTGGGAAGCTAATGTTGTGATTCCTCGCCAGCCAGTGGATCCGGCAGCTGAGTCTGAGGAATCAGATGAGGAGGAGGGGCCTGGAGTGACATTAGAGTCAGAGGAAGGCTCTGAGGAGCTCCAAGACTTACAGTCGGATGAGGAGCCTGGCCCCTCTACTCGCACTTAGGCTGAGACACAGCTGTGCTGGGAGCCTGAGTTGGACAGTGATGAAGAACAGTTGGGTCAAATCCAGGATGCACGAAAGCGCAGGCAAGAAAAGCGAGTAGGAATGCAATGGGGCGGCTCCAAAGGCAAAGGAGAAGGCATTAGGAAGCCACGCCTTGGCTAAATTATAAAAGGGAAGGTGTGGGAGGTGCTGGTTGCCAAAGGCAACCATTTGTGTCGAGGATCGACTTTCTGTGGACTGTGTTTGTTTGCCTTGGACATTGACTCAGGTCTGTGAGAATAAAAGGGGTTGGTTTTTTCTTGCGGTTCCTGCCTGTTTCTTGGAAGAGGGGTTTCTCCTTGTGAGCATAACAAGGACTCACGTAGGATGGGACAGAACAGTTTGCCTTCGGCCTTCTACCCCCTATTACCATGGAGCAGTTACGTGCGGAGAATGCCCAGCTCTCCCAGCAGCTGGCTTTGCTGGCAGCTTAAGTTGCTCAGCTTCAAGCCTCCACTTCTGCTGCTCCAGAACCCCGAAGTAAGTGTCCAGTCGTAGTGCCTGACAAATTTGATGGCACTCTGGAGATGTTTCCAGCTTTTTTGGGCCAATGCCAGCTCTTTATCAGCCTGAGAGCGGCTGACTTCCCCACTGACCGTGATAAAGTGGGGTTTATGATCAGCCTCCTCTCTGGTGCTGCAGCTCGTGGGGCACACCCCCTGCTAGCCCAGCCTAGTCCGTGGTTGGATAATTTTGGGGGGTTTTGTGACTATATGCGTCTTATGTATGAGGACCCCATTAAGATGCAGACCGCTATCCGATGCCTGAAAGCTCTGAGGCAGGGCCAACACCCTTTACAGGGATATATCAGTGAGTTTCAGCTGCTTAGCTAGGATTCAGACTGGAACGAAGCTGCACTCATGGACGCTTTCCAGGATGGCTTGTCGGAGGAGCTGTTGGACGAGCTGGCCCGTGTCGATGTTCCCCCAGACCTCAATGGGTTGATCCATCTCTGTTTGCGGATTGACACTCGGCTGCAGCAGCGTGGGAGTTGTCGTGCCACTCCAGAGACCCAGGCGGCCCCAGTTGTGCGTGAGACTCCGGTTCTGCGGGAGGAGCCTATGCAGTTAGGTGTTGTCAGACCTCGCCTATCAATGGCAGAAATGAATAGACAACTTTCAGGGGGGGTTGTGTTTCTACTGTGGGGACCCTGGACATTTGGCCGCCTTCTGCCCCAAGAAGTGACAAGGGGCGTCAGCTACCGAGCCTGCTCCGCAAAAGCAACCTCATCGGGAAACGTCCTGAGCCCAACCTAAAAGACATTTTGGGTCGGGCTTCCCCCAACACTGAGCAATGTCCTTCGGATGCTGCACTCAGACCTCCACGGCATTTGATACTGGCGGCACGCTTGATCCTCCCCGGGAAGCCACAGGTACATGCTTTGGTCGACTCTGGGGCCACCACAAACTTTATGGACACAGTATTTGTGGCCAAATGGGCTTTTCCCCAATGCCCAGTGGAACCGCCTCTGTTAGTAGAGACTATTGATGGCCGAGTGCCATTTAAGGCTGCCACGCAACTGTTGGGTATGGCCATCAGCTTGCATGAGGAGGCTATTCAGTTTTACATAACCTCTGACCTGCATTTCCCCATGGTCTTGGGAATGGCGTGGCTCCGGATGCATGACCCACGGATTTATTGGTCCCAGAACCTGGTCACCTTTCCAAGTTTACAGTGTGTGGACCACACCCACCAAGTCTGCCGGCCAGGTGGTGAGTCCCCCAGGGGTCTCTCTGCCCTCCGAACTAGCAACTTATGCTGATGTGTTCAGCAAGACTGAGGTGGATCAATTGTCTCCACACAGGCCATATGACTGCCCCATCGACTTAGTTCCTGACGCGCCTTTCCCAGTGGGACCCTGAGTTGGCTGCGTTGCGCGACTTTCTGGACAAAAATTTGGCTCGGGGTTTTATTCGGCCCTCATCTTCACCAGTGTCTGCACCAGTGCTCTTTGTAAAAAAGAAGTCCGGAGAATTGAGGCTTTGCTGTGACTATCGAAAATTTAATGCCATTACGGTAGGTAATCGATACCCGCTGCCCCTCATCCCTGAACTTCTGGAATGGCTCCGGGAGGCAAAAATCTTCACGAAATTGGACTTGAGAGGAGCCTACAATCTCGTTAGGATTCGGTCGGGTGATGAGTGGAAGACAGCGTTTGGCACCCGGTGTGGGCACTTCAAGTATACAGTGATGCCGTTTGGGATGACCAATGCCCCTGCAGTTTTTCAACACTTCATGAACGACATATTCTGGGATCTGTTAGATCAGTTTGTCGTGATCTATTTGGATGACATTCTGATCTATTCCCTTTCACGGGAGACGCACCACCAGCATCTCCGTCACATCCTGCAATGGCTCCGAGATCATCGTTTGTATGCCAAACTGGAGAAATGCCAATTCTATCAAATGACCATTGATTTCCTAGGTCACCGCATTTCTCCTGAGGACATCGCCATGGAGCCGAGCAAGGTTGAGTCTCTGCGTAGTTGGCAATCCCCGGTTTTGCTTCCATGACTGCGCCCCTCACTCAGCTCCTGCAGAAAAAGACCCGGTTTCATTGGGATATCCCGGAGCAACAGGCTTTTCAGGCTTGAAAGGAAGCCTTCATGAAGAACCCATCTTGAAACATCCTGACCCGCAACGGCCATTTGTCGTGGAAGCGAATGCCTCTGACATTGCCATTGGAGCAGTGTTACTCTAGGCTAATGCACCCGGCGGTGCCCTCTTTCCTTGCATGTACTACATGTGGAAACTGAATCCGGCCGAGCGCAACTACACTGTCTGGGAGAAGGAGCTATTGGCCATCAAAGTGGCATTTGAGGCCTAGAGGCATCATTTGGAAAGGGCTCGGCATCAAATTGAAGTCCAGACGGACCACAAGAATCTGGAAAGCTTGCAGACCATCCGGAAATTGAATCAACGACAGATTCGGTGGTCTCTCTTCTTCGCTAGGTTCAATTTCCGCATTATCTACATACCAAGCGGTCGCAACCAAAGAGCAGATGCTCTGTCAAGGAAGCCAGAATATTCCCGTACAGAAAACAAGAACTGCCCAGGACAGTTCTCCCCGTAGAATCTTTCTCTGCAGTTTGGGAGCCAATAGATGTACGGGCTTGGATTCGGGAGGCACAACAACATGATGCATGGGTGGCTCAACGAAGGGAGGAGTTGGGGCCAGACTCCCCATGGACCGTCACGGATGGACTCCTAAAATATCGTGATCAGCTCTATGTTCCAGGAGGGCCACTCAGAGGGCTCATTCTCAGCCAATGTCATGATAATCCGGTGGCGGGGCATTTTGGCCAGTTCAAGTCACTGAACTTGGTCTCCCGTATATTCTGGTGGCCCCGAGTACGTCCAGGCCTATGTCACGTCTTGTATACAGTTTAGGCAGGCCAAGTCAGCGACGGGGGCCCCACCAGGTCTACTTCAGCCCTTCCGACGCCTGAAAGACCCTGGGGGGCAGTAGCCATGACGGACTTACCCCCATCTTCTGGCTTCACGACGGTATTTGTGATGGACATGCTGACCAAGATGGTGCATTTCATTCCTTGCCGTGGCTTGCCGTCAGCCCGCGCCACCATTTGCATGTTCATCCAGCAGGTTTTCTGGCTGCACGGCCTCCCTGATAGGATTGTTTCAGATAGAGAGGCTCAATTTACGGCCTGTTTCTGGAAGGGGTTGATGAAAGCCCTAGACGTAAAAATCTGCCTATCGGGACTGAGAAAGTAATCAGAATCCTAGAACAATACCTGCGCTGTTATGAGAATCAGCAACAGGACAATTGGTCGGACTATCTTGCGGTAGCTGAGTTCACGTTTAACAACTCACAGCACACCTCCACGCATATGACACCGTTCCTGGCCAGTGGGGTATCATCCCTAGCTTTTTCCCCTCTCGCAGCTCGACTCGCCAGTTCCTGCAGCTAATGAATATCTAACCGAGTTACGGGCTATCCATCAATTGGTGCAGTGACAATTAGATAAGGCCAAGGCGGTTTACAAGAAGGTTGCCGATCGGTCCAGGCAAGATATT